TTACCTATCTCAAGACCGGCTTCCTCAGCGCCGCGAGTCTTGAGCTAGCGATCGGGCTCGCCATCCCTTCCCGGATGGTGACCATCGCCTTTATATGACGATCGGCTTCATCAGCGCCTCGTCATCATATTATAGGACCGGCTCCTCATCGCCGTTGTCCTCACATCACGGCCGGCCCCTCGGCCTCGGCGTGATCATCTATCTCAAGACCGGCTTCCTCAGCGCCGCGAGTCTTGAGCCAGCGATCAGGCTCGCCATCCCTTCCCGGATGGTGACCATCGCCTTCATATGACGATCGGTTTCACCATCGCCTCGTCATCATTTATTTGGACCGACTCCTCATCGTCGTTGTCCTCACATCACGACCGGCCCCTCGGCCTCGGCGTGATCATCTATCTCAAGACCGGCTTCCTCAGCGCCGAGAGTCTTGAGCTGGCGATCGGGCTCATCATCTCTTCCCGGATGGTGACCATCGCCTCTATATGACGATCGGCTTCACCATCGCCTCGTCATCATTATTTGGACCGACTCCTCATCGTCTTCGTCCTCATATCACGATCGACCCCCTCGGCCTCGACGTGATTATTTATCTCGAGACCGGTCTTAGTCATCCCTTCCCGGATGGCGACCGTTGAATTGCATGGATCTTCGGACCGGCCCCTCAGTGCCTTCGTTCTCATATCACGACCGGCCCCCTCGGCCTCGACGTGATTATTTATCTCGAGACCGGTCTTAGTCATTCCTTTACCGAGTGACGACCGTTGCATGGATTTTTGGACCGGCCCCTCATCACCGTCGTCCTCACATCATGCCCGGCCCCTCGCCTCGGCGTGATTATCTATCTCAAGACCGGCTTCCTCAGCGCCGAGAGTCTTGAGCTGGCGATCGGGCTCACCATCCCTTCCTGGATGGTGACCGTCGCCTATATATGACGATTGGCCCATCATGGCCTCGTCATCATTTATTGGAACGGCTCATCATCGCCGTCATGCTCACATCGCGGCAGACCCCTCGGTCTCAACGTGATCTTGAGCTAGCGACTGGGCTCACCATCCCTTCCTGGATGGTGGCCATCGCCTCTATATGACGGCCGACTCATCATTGCCCCGTCATCATATTTCGGATTGGCTCTTTTCATTGCCATCCGCGCATCACGACCGGCCCCTCGGCCTCGGCGTGACTATCTATCTCAAGACCGGCTTCCTCAGCGCCGAGAGTCTTGAGCTAGCGATCGGGCTCGCCATCCCTTCCTGGATGGTGACCATCGCCCTTATATGACGATTGGCTTCATTCTTGCCTCATCATCATATTATCGGATCGGCTCATCATCTCCGTCCGCACATTACGATCGGCCCCTCGGCCTCGGCGTGATTATCTATCCCCAAGACCGGTCTCAGTCATTCCTTCATCGGATGGCGACCGCTGCTTGGACTTTTGGATCAGCCTCATAGTGCTGACGACCTCACATCACGATCGGCCCCTCGGCCATGACGTCACACCCTATCCCAACACCGGCTTCATCAGCGCCGAGTGTGTTGGGCTAGCGATCAGGCTCGCCATCCCCTCCTGGATGGTGACTATCGCCTCTATATGACGATCGGCTCCATCATCGCCTCGTCATCATATTTCGGACTGACTCCTCATCATTGTCATCCGCACATCGCGATCAGCCTCTCGGCCGCGACGTGATTATTTATCTCAAGACCGGCTCCCAGCGCCGAAGTCTTGTTATAGCGATTGGGCTCGCCATCCCTTCCCGGACGGCGACCGTCGCCCCCATATGACGCACGGCTCATCATCGCCTCGTCCTCACATTTAGACCGGCCCCAGCGCCGAAGTCCTTATCTAGCGACCAGGCTCGCCATTCCCTTCCTGGATGGTGATCGTCGCCTTCATATGACGCATGACTTATCATCGCCTCGTCCCCATATTCGGACCGGCTCACCAGCGCCATCGTCCCCATATTCGGACCGGTTCGTCAGCGCTGTCGTCCTCATATTCGGACTGACTCATCAGCGTCGTCGTCCTCATATTCAGACAGGCGTCCACCGCCTCGTCCCCCTATTCAGATATAGCGAACATCTTGCGGTCTCCGGCCGAAAGGCTAAAGGAGCCTAGAGTTCAGCCATATATCGCTCTGTCATCTTTATTTGATGACGCGAAGCTCATTTGTAGGCCCATCGGCCATATATCGCTCCGTCATCTTTATTTGATGACGCGAAGCTCATTTGTAGGCCCATCGGCCATATATCGCTCTGTCATCTTTATTTGATGACGCGAAGCTCATTTGTAGGCCCATCGGCCATATATCGCTCCGTCATCTTTATTTGATGACGCGAAGTTCATTTGTAGGGCCATCGGCCATATATCGCTCTGTCATCTTTATTTAATGACGAAGAGCTCATCTACAGGACCATCGGCCATATATCGTTCTGTCATCTTTATTTGATGACGAGGAACTCATTTGTAGGCCTCTGAGCCACATCTTGCTCCGTCATCTTTATTTGATGACGTGAAGCTCAGTTGCAGACCCATCGGGCATATATCGCCTCGTCATCTTTATTTGATGACGCGAAGCTCATTTACAGGCCCATCGGCCATATCTCGCTCCGTCATCTTTATTTGATGACATGGCGCTCGCATATAGGCCTCTGAGCCATACATCACCCCGTCATCTTTATTTGATGATGTGGGGCTCTCATGTAGGCCTCTCGGCCATACGTCGCCCCGTCATCTTTATTTGATGACGTGGAGCTCTCATATAGGCCTCTCTCGGCCATACATCGCCCCGTCGTCTTTATTTGACGACGTGGAGCTCTTATGCAGGCCCCTCGGCCGCACCATCACCCCGTCGTCTTTATTTGACGACGTGGAGCTCTTATGCAGGCCCCTCGGCCGCACCATCGCCCCGTCGTCTTTATTTGACGACGTGGAGCTCTTATGCAGGTCCCTCGGCCACACCATCGCCCCGTCGTCTTTATTTGACGACGTGGAGCTCTTATGCAGGCCCCTCGGCCGCACCATCGCCTCGTCGTCTTTATTTGACAACGTGGAGCTTTCGTACAGGCCTCTCGGCCCATCGGCCTTACGTTCTGGTCATCTTTATTTGATGAACCAGACATCATATTGTGGACGGTCGCTCGACCCATCCCTTAGTCATCTTTATTTGATGACTAGGACTACTGATCATGATGAGCTACCCACATCTAGAGATCGGCCTCGACCATCCAGCAGACGGGCACCGCTGCAGCTCCATCTCCAGGCCGAAGGGCTCGCACCTTTTGTTTCATTTTGGGGGCATCCGGTGTACTCTTTTTCCCTCATTAGGATTTTTTCCCACAGGGTTTTTCCTAATGAGGTTTTTAACGAGGCATCTCCCCATCGTGGATCAAAAGGCGTCAACCCTCGGCCCCCTGTTGAAGACATCATCCAACACGCATTACTCTACTCATCTTCACCTCATTACACTCGTCTCAAGGAGTGGGGGACTGGGAGAGCGGGGGACTTAGCGCCTCCGTTAACCAAAGAAGCAGAATTTCAAATTTTTGTTCATGAAGTTTACTCACCAGACGACGAAAGATCAGCACACAGTTCTACTCTCTTTCGCCTCGAATACTCTCGACTCAGAGAGTGGGGGACTCCTGATAGAGTATATAGACTCGGACCCCCGGGTCTCACGACTATTGGGCCCGGACAGCGGCCCACACACATCTTACGGATATCATTTGTATTATTGTACTGCTTATATGTCATTTGTATACTAGATTAGTCTTTTATGTAGTTGGACTACCGGTCCCATATTAGCGGCCCAACCCGTTATTCCTCTATTTATACTCCTTTTGGAGCTTGTAAACCCTAGATCTCAATTCATTATCATTCTATTACTCATCTTCTCCACAATACTTGAGCTCAAATCTCTACATTTTATACATACTTGGATCCTAATAATCCATCAATTTTATTTATTAATAACAAATATTATTAAATATAATTTTTCCATGAATCAACAAAATCAGTCAATACAACCACTTCAACCACAACTTCTTAAATTTCAGCACAATTAGCCACTTCAATCAATTTTAGTGTTACCAAATGGGCTCTAAATCTACTTTTACGATCTATGAATATAGTATTGAAGTCCAACAAAAGTTCGTGTAGGTTATGAAAAAACAATTCCTGCCCTATATACAATTTAGGGCCACTGATGGTAAGGTCCATTGAAACAATAAATTTATTTATTACTAAACATTCAAATTGAATATTTTAAATAGCTTTATCAATTGGTGAAGGTACCCGCACGGGCATCTCAGTTGGTCCAGTGGTGAGAAAATTGGACCAAATGACCAAGGTTCGAAACCCGCAGCGGCCGTGTGAACTGTGAAGGTTACAGAACCTGAAATAAGGTTGGACCTCTGATGCGCACGTGTATAAGGGCTACCGCCGCTCTGCTGACTGAGTCACCGCGATTAACTCTCCCACTATCCTGTCGGGTCGGGGTGAGGGTTCCTCGGGTGGGAGATTTCATCTTTAAATTTGGACCAAATCAATTGGTGACGGTAATTAACAATATGGTAATTTTGAATAGAATTATCCTTAATCAAATAGTAGGTTGTTGGGCCTATAAGTCGGTTCGGTTGCAGTGTGGAGCAAACCTGCTGGGTCGGCCCAATGTTTTAACGAAGTCGATGAACAATGTCCTAATTACAACAACCAATCGCCACCGTTGATCCCTTTCACAATTCGAAAACCAGCGGCCTGAAATCTTCCAGTATACAAATCGTAGCCGCACAGGATAACTGGCTGCCAAAAGGAATTCACCGTACGATACAAGAATATAAATTCAATAATTCAAACTGAACAATTTTTATTAAGAAAGAAAAGTACAAATAAATTGAATTTCGCGGTTACCATCACCAAGATTTCATCTTCTTCTCCGCTTCCCCCTCACACACAATTTGGTTGTCTCCAATCACCTCTGAAACTTCGATTCCCTGCTCGGTATTATATGGTAACATCTGAATCCGATTGAGAAGAAACTCACACCTGGTGGATTTTCGATTCGGCAAATAAATAATAGCTCACTCTCTCTTTTTGGTCAGTACTCAACATCTCTTATACTTCTCTTTTGAATTGTATTGCGTTACAGAGAGTGTTTATACTGAAAATACGAAATCATTTGCAAAAAACGCCAATTATTGCCTGTGCTGCCTTTTTGTTTTCAGCGATCAGTCTCAGATCGAGCTTTTGATTTCAGCCCCAGAAGTGTTGTGTAGTTTTTCTAATCATTTTCGGGTCTTGATTTATTAAAGTTTTTCTGGTCTCAGTGCACGACATGCCTAGATTGTGTGCATTTTTATTTTTTAAATGATCTTTTTTATATAGCATGTCAGTTAAGCTGGTGGGTAGGCTTTATATATGAGCAGGGTTTCAGTGTAGATATACTTTAAGCGTATTAGGTTGATCGGACTTTTTTTGAGCGATAATCTGTATAAGTAATGGTTGCCCATATATGAACTTATGTAATTCCAATACCTTCATTACTAGCTATAACTATAAGAATTCATAATAATATTAAACTGAAGTCTTGCACTCATTCTCTTTTGCTCATGTGAAGGTTGTGGTTCCACTATTGGAAAATAGGTTCTAATATAGTAATGTATAATATGGTCACCTGATCAAGTTATGTACACCCAGATTGGCCATCTTTTTAAATACTATTACTGTTTTCTGTGTTTGCATTTGTTAGTTTAATTTTTTTGGAGTAATTAACTTCCGTTTAATTTTTTGTTTCATGTAGTTTATGTTTTCAGGATTTTGATTATGTCTCCTGCGAAAAAGTCTAGGAGTACAAATAAGCGATATTCTTATGTAACTGAAGTCTCCCCTAGCAAAGGAGGAGATGGCTCTAAAAGAAGCAATCCACGGGTGAGTTTTGTGTCTACTTTTTTTTTCCATATGCAGATGGCCTTTTTCTAATATAAGCACCCTACAGTTCCAATCTCAGCTGAAGTTTACACGAATATGCCTGTAAAATTGTTACTCCCCATCTACTTATGTTTGATTTCTGTGTCCACACACATGTATAAACATGTACTGTTATATAAATTTCAGTTGATTAACCTCAAAACTTCTTCGTGTACGCATTTCCGATTTAATTGCAGAAAAGGAAGTTGTCCATGCTAGGCCCCCAATGGAGTAAGGAGGAGCTTAGCCGTTTTTATGATGCGTACAGGAAACATGGTAAAGATTGGAAAAAGGTTGGACATCAAATTCTTAATCTGAAGCTCAGTTCTTGAATATTTTTTCTCTTTTATTTATATCTGAATTAGAAGAATTACTGTGTAGTTATACTCAGATTTCTGCCATCATAAAAGTTTGTTTTAATAGTTGAACTACACATTATCATAGTTATTGCTCATCTTTCTCTCTCTCTCTCTCTCATACACACACACATGTAAAACACAATTTCTATACTTCCATAAGTGACCGGTTCAATTGAGTGTCATTTTATATGCCTTGCAGGTGGCTGCTGTTGTGAGAAATCGGTCAGTTGATATGGTGGAGGCACTTTACTCTATGAATATGGTAAATTTGTTTTAAAAAATGTGTTATAAACAAATTTTAATATACTTGAATGAATGTTTATTTGTTCACGCGGTCCTATATTTGCTAGCTGTATATATTTTACCCATTTACTTTCAGGCTTACTTATCTCTTCCAGAGGGGACTGCTTCTGTTATTGGATTGATTGCAATGATGACTGATCACTACTGTAACATGGTGAGATACATGTGGTTCACGGACTTACTAAATCGTCTAGTATCGTGGCACTTTATATCATTGAATTTGATGAGGCCTCTTTTTCTGCACATTCAGCATGTCCTTTCCATTGTATTCACAAAGTTGATCTTCATTTATGAATAAGTACTGATTAATAACCATAAGAATAGTCTGAAATGCTATAGCATTCTTGTATGGAGTAAATGAAATTCAGCACAGAGCTGATAGGGTCTTTGCATATTTTTTATGAAACAAGATTCTTGGTGTTGTCCACAAGGCTCGATTCAAACAATCTATCCGAAATGGAGTGAACTTTCTCTGCTGACTGTAATTCTTTCATGTAATTCACCTCTTTGTGAATGAGAAAGTTGACGGTCCTTTTTTGTGTTGGCTTTCTAGTTAAAGCATATTGATTATCAAGAGGTATCATTAATTTGCACTTGTGGCAATTGAGTTATTCGAATGTGGCTGACAGGCGGAGAGTGATAGTGAACAAGAAAGCAATGAGGGTGCAGGAACATCTCGGAAGACTCAAAAGCGTGCTCGAGGTAAAGTTCAGGCTGGCACATTTAAAGGACCCGATTTACAACCCCCTACTCTAGGATCAAATAATGGTTGTTTGTCATTATTGAAGAAGAAACGCTCTGGAGGTGTGTGCTTCCTTTCTCTTGAGAACCTCTAAAGGAATTTAGTTATCATTTCAAGGCCACTAAATGACATACATTTTCTTAGAATGTTATAGTTGATGATGTTTTTCTGAAATTTTCTTTCAGGGACACGGCCTCGTGTTGTTGGGAAAAGGACACCACGGTTTCCTGTACCATATTCTTATGAAAATGCTAAAGGCCTGAACAGATCGTTAGATGCCAATGATGATGAAGTTGCTCATGAAATTGCTATAGCTTTAGCTGAAGCCTCAAAACGAGGCAGTTCTCCCCAGATTTCACATACACCTAGCCATCAAACTGACAGTGCGTTATCCACTCCCACCCAAAAAGCTGAAAAGAAGGTAATAACCCAACTTCCACCAGAAGTTCCGAAGCTTACATCGATTGTATATTCTGAGTATTTACTTTTTTTTTTAATATCTAAACAGAAGAGTAGCCTGGAAATGGGCAATCTCAAGTTTCATAGCAGTGAAATGGATGAGGATGAAGGAAGCATGGAAGCTGACACAGGAGAACTACACAGGTTGAGGGAAACTGGCCGAACAATCCAGAAGGGGAGCAGGGTCTCTGGGAAAAAGTCAGAAATTGACGTCACTAGTGATGCTAAATTTGTTGACAACAAGGAAGCATGTAGTGGTACAGAAGAAGGTTATAGGTTAGATGTAGCAAGTACAGAGCATGACATGGAGGTTGCTGATGAAAAAGTTTTAAGGGCTTCATCCCTTGGTCTCAGAAAGAGGAGCAAAAAGGTTCTTTTTCAGAGAGGTTTGGCATTTTGATTTAAATGCTTTCGTTCAAAAGATGTTTTTGTTTAATCATATAATATCTTACATGAAAATTGTTATGTACAAACTTTGTGCCAAAGTTAACTTTTATTTCTCTATATAGATGACGGTGCTACCTTTGAGGCTCTTCAAACTTTGGCTGATCTATCATTAATGATGCCAACAATGGAAAATGAAAATGGTAAGGAATTAATGATACACATAACACATCACTACCCTCTTAGGTTCCATGTTCTGCACATTTACGCTTTGTTAGATCCTTGCCTTGCTCTTTGTTAGTGCAAGCTTTTATCTTATCTTCAGACTTCAAGGATATTAATACCTTCCTTGATTCTTATAAATGATACCACACTTATTTTCTGGGTCAGTCTTGTGGAACACATTTCCCAGTGAGTGTTAAAAAGTATTTTATTCATTTGTATGATTCATTTTCTTCTTAAGTACTGATTATATTTGGTAATTTTGCAATCCTTGTTCTGAATTAATTACTATACTGTAATTTCCCTTGTGAAGGTCCTATTTTGGATTATGGAGTTTGCTGAATTTAAACTTATCTCTCCCCTAATAATATACTCCCTCCGTCCCATAAAATTCTTCCAATTTTCCTTTTTGGGCCAACCCAAAAAATTCTTCTCACTTACCATTTTTGGGCAATTTGTGTGGCTCACATTCATTTTACCTTTTTCTTAAGCAACTACAGCCATACATTTCCACTTTACTCTCACTTCCTTAATAGGCGTGCCAAGTCAATGTGGGAAGTATTTTTTGGGACGGTGGGAGTATAAGTTTGTATTCGTAATCATAGTTTATATATTTAGAAACTGCACCAAAAGTTTTATTGAACTGCATAAACCGAATATGAATATGATAGAAATTAGAGATTGAAACAGTGCTGAGCTGACCGCAAAACTTTTAAAATGGGATGGATGTAGTATTAAGTTATAGGCTCAAGCCCTGTAAGGGTATATCTTCTCCAGAGTGCTGCATGATATGGGAGCCTGGTGTCATAGTGTGCTTTTTACTTCTAGAGTAAACCAACTTTAATCAATTCAGTGTGTAACTCTGTATCTCTATATCTGTGTCATTAAAAGAATGATAGATGATGCACATCCAAAAGCTTGTTTTTGAAAACGTTGAGTGTGAAAGATGAATTGTTCCTACAGTTTTTAAGCCTCATGTTTCACGTATAATGGGCTGATTATAAATTGTGGCTTTTATTTTTAGTCCTCTGATACTTAATCTGAAAACTCATTTCTGAATAGTATGATTTACTTTTGAGGTTCTTTGGTTTTTATTTGAAACTGTATCACTATCATTTAACTTGTATGGTGCATTTGCGACAGTGTTCTTACCTCTTTTTACTTTTTTTTCAGAGCTAATGATGCACATCAAAGATGAAAGTGGTCACATTGAAGAATCTGAAACCATGGAAGCTCTGCCTATGAACCGGCAAAAAAAGAAATACAGAACATCTGGAGTTAAAACTAAATGGACTCAGCCTACTTCAGAACTTGAGGTTGCATCTAGTGCAATGTCAAAGCATGTAAAAGCTTCAGTTGATGATAGCGCTTTTTCTGAAACAAAGCAGATGAGAAAAAATCAAAAGATATCAACATCTAAGGTAAGCTTCATAGCTAATACTCTCAGCTGTATCAATACTTTCTGTTGTAGAGTATTTACTTTTTTTAAGCATGTCATTCAGGCACAGAAATGTGAAGTTCATCCCAGTAATGATCTCTCTGATCCTCCAGTGTCTGACGTAAGTCTGCTTTGCTTTTTTTACCTCAGACTATAACTATATTTTGTAATATTTTTAAGGCCGATCATGGAGTTTTTCAAAAGATGTGTAACATGTGTAAGTGTGTAACTGTGTTAGGATTTGTTTGTCACGAAGTTCCTGTTTTGCTTCAATGATACATGATAAGTTTCATTGTGGACCAGTTTGGATTTGTTTTCCATATTGAAATATCTCTGAGATATGTAGTAGGTTATTTATTTTGCTGGGTATTCTGAAATACAAAACCGGATGAAATACAATGAAAGTGGACGTTATTTACTTATTTTTGGGCCCGATGATAATAGAAATTCAGAAATCTAAAATAGGAAGTTTGGCTTCACTTGGAAACTTCAAGAAGTGAATTGAGCTATATTTGATCAACCCCGATCTCATTGAAATCATGTTTGGGTGAAATTGGTAGATGAACAAGACTGTACAAAATGTTGCTTATATATTATAATTGAATGTTTGTCTGTTGTATTATAGTTGGATGCAACAGATTCCCATTCCTATCCCTATTGGATTGCCTTTTTCTCCTGTTGGAACACCAATTTGACATAATTCTCTTTTTACAGAAAAAGGATGCACTGAAGAAGCCAATCAGCAAGGGTAAAAGATCTTTGCAGCAGAGCTCTTCACCTAAAGTAATGAAGAATCAAGATCATCCCTCAAGTGCAGATCTAAGAATAGAGAGAAGCGATCCAGCTCAAATGGCTTCAGAAGTCCGTGTAGCAAACCAAGCCACATTGCCTGATAAAGTTACGAGTAGGCGTAAGATGATGCTTGAGAAAACACAAAAAGTAAGCGATTCGACTTTTCCTGATAGCATGTTGGATAATAACTGCAGCCCGCCCTTTGTTTCAGTCAATGACAAAGTGGACAATGTTCAGGTATGATGCATCACTTTATCGTTTTTCTAGCTGTTCCACCTACCTTCTACATATAGTTTGGTTCATGTGCTGTTTAACATTTGGTACTTTATGTTCTAAATGGTTTTGCAGAAAAAACTTTCTAATTGTTTACGCCACCGACTTTTAAGGCGATGGTGTACATGTGAGTGGTTCTACAGCCCAATTGATAATCCCTGGTTTGCTAAAAGGGAGTTTGTTGAATACTTGGATCATGTTGGGTTGGGACATGTTCCCAGGCTAACTCGTGTTGAGTGGGATGTGATAAGAAGGTATTTTCAAATCACTGCAGAAAAGTGAAATTACAACCAGTTATGTATAGTGGAATGTTATTTTAAGCTTTATTTAAATCATGTTGCAGTTCTCTCGGTAAACCGCGTCGATTTTCTAAACAATTTTTGAAGGAGGAAAAGGAGAAGCTCTATGATTACCGTGAGTTTGTTAGAACACATTACACTGATCTACGCGAGGGTACTAGGGAAGGATTACCTACTGATCTTGCAAGGCCATTATCTGTTGGACAACGTGTCATTGCCATCCACCCTAAAACAAGAGAAATTCATGATGGAAGTGTTCTTACAGTTGACCATTCTAGGTGTCGGGTTCAGTTTGACCGTCCTGAGCTTGGAGTTGAAATTGTCAAGGTGATAGATCAATTAATAATAGGTTGAAACATTAAAAACTGGTTTAAATTGTGCTCTATGTTAGACTCTACATGTGTGTACATCCGGTTTGCATACGTGTATGTATAAGTATACATGCATGGCTGTTGCATATGTATGTATACTGCTGTATGATTTTTTAAACAATGCAGTGAAATATGACTTAAATATGACTAGTCTTATATTCATCAGCCTAGTTGGGGCCTGGGGGTAATTGATCTAGCATTTCAAATACAATAGGATTTTGTAGCTCTCATCATAAATGATGGTGGAGATACCATTTCCTGAACAATCTTCACTAGGCAAGTTTTAATTTTTTTCTTAAAACAGGGGCAACAATGTATTCACGTATTTTAATGAAACAATATTCAGTGTATTTATTTTCATTTAGTGAATCTTCCGTGCTATCTGCACTTTCTGGACTTCAAATATTTTCTTTGACGCGTTAAATCATTTTTTAATATAGGCAAGGACTATACAATGAATAATCATCACAAATTCAATGGGCTAATCAACTTAAAGGCCTACATAGATTCTACTACAACTTGGAATTCTATACACTTCTACTTTTACACTCATTGAAATTCTTCTTGATTTGGCAGGATATTGAATGCATGCCTTTAAATCCCTATGACAACATGCCTACACAGCTCAGCAGGGACAAGCATGCTGTTGTGCATAAGTTACTTGAGAACTTCAATGAGAACATTCTTAATGAGCGAGCAAATGACAATATGAAATTAGTGTCAGGTGATAATCTAGAGAACGGAGATGGTTTCCATTGTTTGCCTTCATCAACCTGTGTGCAAAATAACCTATTATTGAAATCAGAGGTCAGTAGCATTTTATCTTCTTTAATTGCTATTGTTTTAATGAGACATTTGTTGCTTTTGATTTGTTTGTCTTAAGGGTCACTTTAGATGGTGAATGCAGGGTTTGTGTAGGACTAAGTCTATATTTTGATACACACATGGGAATTTATGAAAACTTAAATAATACCTTGTAACCTAATATATTTTGATCTATTTTGATACATATGTTATTTGAATCAGACTTCATTCATTTTTCAAAATATGGCGTTCATTATGATACATAGTAAGCCTTCCATAGCCTTCCTCTCTAATACTCTCCATCCAAACTATCACTGAACTCTATGGGCCTGCGCTGGATGGAGGGGTTTGATGAGAAAGGTTTTGGAGGGGAAAAATGTTAATTGAAGGTTCTACGATCACATATTATGTCAATCTCTCAATTATTATAAAATCGACATTTTATATCCAGAGTTGAGATATATACGTAGCTCACCAAAACCATTCAGAAATCTCAAATCCAAACTGAACCCAAGGGAATGACCTTTTAGCTTCTCTCTGGGCACAAATTAAAAATGAGATTGGTTAAACAGTTAGACCATGGATACCAGGCAGATACAGCAGATGGTGATGGGAATGCTAAAATTAGGCCAAGTGACGCTGTTCTGCAAACCGCAATTTCTCAACCCGGTACAGTGGGGCAGAACCAAGCTAAAGAAGCCGATGTTCAAGCTCTTGCTAAGCTGACTCGTGCTCTCGACAAAAAGGTTCTGTATTAATTTGTTTCTGTTAAATTTTGTCAATCTCCTGCATAAAGAAGAGTTACATTATGATTGTATTTATTTATTAATTAAAAATGAGTTCACGATGAGCTTTGCGTGGACATTCAGGATGCTGTAGTTTCTGAGCTCAGGCGCATGAATGACGACATTTTGGAAAACCAAAGGAGCGGTGACTGCACACTCAATGACTCTGACCCTTTCCGAAAGCAATATGCTTCTATAATAGTTCAGTTAAATGAAGTAAATGACCAGGCATGTCACTATTACCCATTGTAGTAAACTCCCATCCAGGCGATAGGCCTCCATCTTTTGCGCATCAGCAGGCCTATCACTTTTATGCTTTGTTTGGATAGAGAGAAGTATGAATGAAGTAGAGTGGAAAGATAGTGCGTGGATTTTGGGTGCAGTAGGAGAGAAATAGAGTAGAAAGAGTAGTTGAGATTTCATTTAATCTGTCTGGTTTGAAAGGTAAAGAGAAAGAAAATCAATTTTCCTTAAAAAGATATATTTCCTCTTTGTGTAGGCAAAACAAAAGACAAAATTAAAATTTACAATTGGTAGTGATCCCACAATTTGCCCTATTTGTCCCACAAGTCTCTTATTTTGCAGAAAGATGCTCTTTTTTCAGCGGGTCCCACACTCCCATCTCAATTTTCTCTCCTCCCATTCCAAGCATTGCCTCACTTTCTCCCCTACTTCCCTTTTCCTTTATTTCTATCTTCCCCAAATCACCCAAAATAAACGCAGCGTTAACAAGATTGGTTGATGTTTTGCCACTGTGCACTGCAATAAGGTGTTGAGTTGCCTTGACAGGTTTCATCTGCTTTGGGTTGCTTGAGACAGAGGAACACGTACCGAGGGAATGCATCTCTTAGTTTGCTGCCAAGGGCAGTTGCTAATTCCGGTGATGCTGGTGCTGATACATTGAGCACTTTTGGTTATTGTACAAATAATCAAATCCAGGAATCACGGTTTCATATAGACGAGATCATTGAGAGTTCAAGAGTAAAAGCCAGAACTATGGTCGATGCTGCTGTGCAGGTGTGTTTGGCATTATTATTATTAATTTATTATTATTAATATTAATTAATTATTATTGTTGTTATTATTATTATTATAATTTATTGTGTCATACATATTTTTAAAATATGAGTCTCAATATACTCACGGGAGTTTCTTACTTAATTGCTAGGCGATGTCATCACTTAATGGGATGGAGAACAGTACGGGGGATGTTGAATATGCTATTGATTATCTAAATGACCGAATTTCAACGGATGAATTAGGCTCGCTTACTGTAAGTACACCACTTTTTGTTTACCTAGGCTCGGTTTATAAGGAGGATTTTGGGGTGGGGTGGCTGGGTGGGTGAGGAGAGTCTTTGGAAAGCTTAGTCTATATCTTGATATGCATAATTCATATTTTATAATGATTTTATAGAATACAGAGTATCAATTACCTTTTACTCATTTTCATTAGTCAAAGCCCTCTCTAAAATTACCCCCCATCCAAATAATGTTGAATGGACAAGGGAGGGGGGGGGGGGGGGGGTCCAAATGGAAGCTAATGCGTAATAATTACTAAAAGCACTCCATATATAGTCCACATTGATTGATGAATTCTATCCTGTCAAATTAACTGTAGATGACTGATTCTAATAAATTGAAGAACGATGTGAAGCATGGAAATGAGGCAGACATCCCCTCAGAACTTATTGCCCAATGTGTTGCTACGCTCCTTATGATTCAGGTAAACCAAAAAATCTCTGGTTGTGTAGTTTTCATTTAAACAAGACAGGGGCGTATTATTTCTTTTAAAGGGTTTGTAATCTTTAACGATGTAGACATAGTCATAACTTGGTGTTTCTTTATAATAATAATAATTCTGCAGAAGTGTACAGAACGACAGTTTCCCCCGGCTGATGTGGCAAAAATACTGGATTCGGCTGTTTCAAGCTTGCAGCCTACCTCTTCTCACAATCTTCCACTCTTTGCTGAAATAGAGAACCGCATGGGGATAGTAAGGAACCAAATACTGGCCCGAATACCAACCTAGTAGTCATATGCATGTGCTTCGTGCCCGTTGCATGAGAGCAAATGGGAGTTAACTGGTTCAATGAGTTGGTTATAGAATGACTAATATTTATAAGATGTGGAAAGATATATCATTTATCTTAGCTACGTTTATCTAAGCCAAAAGTAATAATGGCAGTGTCTTAGTTTAAGCCTATTTATCCTATGCAAGTCAAATGATTTGGTATTTGGTTGAAGGGCGAGCTGATGAGCCAAAATCACGGGTCACCAAAGCCGTTCTTTTCTTTTTATTGTATTCTGGTTTTATATACACGGTAATCTTGTAAATTTGCTATGGGTAGATATTACTGTAAATGAAATAGCCAAGTCATTTTGGTCTTCGTGTTCAGTCTATAGATTATGTTTAGTACGAGTACATGTTTTCTTGTTAATTACTTAGCTCTAGTTTTTTTAATGACTTAAAACATGTCAGTATTTTCTAAACTTCGCAGTAATTATTCTTATTTTGAGAATAAAAAACATGGCAGTTCTATTTTGGAATTTTCAAACTGTTTTAATCCTATTTCAGGAACTTTCCCAAAAATGAATTGTTTGAACTTTGAACCGAACTCACCCTTAAAACAAATTCACATTTATGAGTATGATATAAGGAGTAGTTGATTTTATTGTCCGAAAAAACCTTATGCTTTTTACTTTAATGTAGAACAATTTTTTCAGTAAGAAAAAAATTTCCTAAATAGGACTAAAACATAGATAAAAAGCCAAAATAAGAGTTATCATGTTTTCTCCCCATTATAGGACTTATACGCTCCTCTCCCAATTTTTTACAGTTTCTGCAATGTCCGAAAAGCTCCTATTTTCTTCTGTTGCTCAATCCTTCTCTTATTCTTCATCGCCGCCTTCAACATTAAGCTGCTCCTCATCACCGCCTTTGACATTTCTTCTCCAGGGATGTTCAAAATTCCCAATTACTTCCTCTGCTCATCTTTTAATCTCTCTGTACCTCCATCTCAGTTTTCTTTATCGGAATTTTCACCGACCTATCTCTTTTCTCATTTCTGATTGAATTGGAAACACCTCTGCACCCCCATCTTCGCTCTTCCTCTTCCATTGAGAAGATTTCTCTTCCAAATTAAAATGATGGTGATGACGCCAACTTCAATTTCAGAGTTCCAGGTATTACTCTTCCTGCTATTTCTTTTCCCACTTCTTCTTTTCTTCTTCATCTTTTATTTTAAAAAATTTTATGTTTGTTATCAAAGTGTCATGAAGATGATGTTTATAAATGTATAAAACATGGCATGCTCTGATCTTTCTTCTTTCACTTTATAAAAAATGATATGTTTATTATGAAAATGTCATTATTACTTTATGAAAATGTCAAGTTTTGTTTCAAATGTTCAATACAGATGTAAAGTAAAACTGTCATGAAGATGACATTTACAAATGTATAAAACATGACAGTCTCTCCTTCTTTTACTTTATAAAAAATGGCATGTTTATTATGAAAATGTCATTATTACTCTGAAAATGTCAAGTTTTGCTTCAAATGTTTAATAAAGATGTAAAATAAAACTGTTATCTTGATACTAACATAACACTGACATTGCTTTCAAATTAGTGTTTAACAAAACAACTATGATGACATTCTCAGATTCAAATGATGAGAAAATAATTTAGACATCCAAAAGAAGAAGAAAAACAAAAAAACAAACAAACATGGAAGAAGAAAACATGGGAGGTGGAGGGGAATGAGCTTACTTGGGCATGTAGCAGAGCTATCATAGTCGGCTACATTTTTCGCACCCATTGACGCTGCACAAATTAATCGCGGCTGTGAAGAATGGGAGGTAGCGCGTAAACCAGGGGCAATTTTGCGATTCCATCCTATTTTTAGTCCTATCGAGTTAAACGGAAAACTAATGGTCCTACTTTTACATTTTTGATATGTTTTAGTCCTATTTAGGTAAATCTCTCAAAAAGTAATAGTTGGTCCACTGAGATTTTATTTAGCAAATAGTCAACACTAATCTCAATTTTGTTGGAAACACCTTTATTTCACCACGCCTTAGTCAGACATTAAAAAAATGTTCCTTTTAAAAAATATTAATCTCAATTTTTGCAAGTTCAAGTCTCATCCCAATCAAGGATTTTTTAAGCTCACTTTAAAAAAATACGGAGTAGTTGTCTGAAAAAACCTTATGCTTTTTACTTTAATGTAGAACACTTTTTTCATTATAGTTTTTGACTTTTGGTATGATTCAAACGAAGAAAAGTGAAACAGTAATAGTTGGTCCACTGAGATTTTATTTAGCAAATAGTCAACACTACTCTCAATTTTGGTGGAAACGCCTTTATTTCACCACGCCTTAGTCGGACATTAAAAAATGTTCCTTATAAAAAATATTAATCTCAATTTTTGCAAGTTCAGGTCTCATCCCAATCAAGGATTTTTTAAGCTCATTTTAAAAAATCGTTCAATACGACTATGTAATCAATTGATGACCGAGTGTTTCAATAAAGGATAAAGCGTACGATGCATGTTTGTTGGGAATTTGGAGTGTGTCAGAGTGCGAGACAGAGCATAAAGGAGACGATGAATGTTGCTGAAAATAATGGACAATTATGGAGGCAATGCGGGCTATGAGCAGACGGAGATTGGTGAAGGGCTGATCAAGGGAGAAGCCAGATTGACGGCCCCCCATCTCCTGAACTGCCGCCTGGGTCTCCTGTGCAAGTCTTTTTATTAAAGTACTCTCATTTTACTTGTGGCTTTCCCTCTATTTCATTTGGATTATGTTATTACCGTGTTTTGTTTACCCTGGGCGAATCTTGTTTGATTTTTACCGGTGTCAAGTGACAAGTACAACATATGATAAGTGACGAGAATACATCATCGATCATGATTGAATTACAATTTCCCAAATAAGGATTAATAAATCCTATTGCTCCTGATGGGTGATAGTTTCCGAGTCCGGTCCTATGAGTTTTCTGGTCTTTCTTGCTTGCCTATATGTCTGGTCTTTTTCCTGTTTGATTGGATTCTATGATTTTAATTTAAGTCATTTTATCTCAAAAACTCAATTTATGACCTGTAATAGCACATTTTTTATATTCAAAACTCTAAAAAATGCTAAAATTTGAAGCAATGTAAATAGTGAAATTTTTAAGAATGTCAAAGTCAACTGCGTTTTTGAATTATTCTTATATTTTACATCTATATAAAAGGGTTTTACATTATTTTTATTTTCACTATAATTTTTTCATTTTTATGTTTTTTTTATTCTTTTGAAAATTTTAAATTATTTATCTATTTTTGCATTTATACTATTTTTTATATTATTACATTTTTTTAAATCTATGAGAATTTTTATTAAATTTATCATTTGCCCTCCATGTAATTTGAACACTTCTTCCCTAAGGATGTGTTTGGAAGAAGTGTTTGGGAGTTATGTTTTAGGATTTACTAGTGATACTCAAGAATCATAAATCGTGAAAATATAATTTGAAAAGTAGTTAGTTTTTCAAATATACTTTCATGACCGTTGGTACTTTGGTGGAATGGTGGAGAGGGTTATTCACCCTCACCCCTATTTGCCTCCCATGTGGCAAAGTAATACTTCACAATGGGAAGGGATGAGATGGAATGCCACATGACAACCATAGAACAAAGAGGGTGAACATCACCCTCCTTAGTGAGGGTGTACAAAATTACACTCCGTTTTGTGACCCTTGGGAATTGTTTTCCATTTATTAACCGTTTTTCATTAAAAGGGTAATTTTTTATTTTGAGCGTTAAATTATATAATAATAAAAATAGTTAAGGTTGAACTTATTTTTCTGAAATTATATACTGTAGAGAACTAATTTAACAACTCTTCATATAATTTTTCTTTATTTTATTAGTAAAATAAATTTTAATTACTTTTGTATATATTTTTCATAATTCAATAGATTTTGTCAATTCATACACTTCAGCCATAATTTCACCAATTTGAATATATTTAATAGATTCAACCAGATTTAGTGTTACCAAACGGACTCTAAGTTAAACTAAATTTGGTTCATTCAAATCATATTAAACTAAACCTGAACATTACGGGGGTGTATTGTATTAAGAACTAGTGACAAAACTTTAGAAGTCAATGGTTTTTAAAAGTTTAGTTGTATTCTATGTGGATTTTTAAAAGTCTACAAAAGTCTAGGTGTATTCAATGTAGATTTTAAAAGTCTAGTCTTATTCAAACTTCCGTTCATTCTTATTGACTTTTAAAATCATGGATTCTCATTAAATTTTAAATCATTCTTAGTTCATTAATTCTCTGCAATTGTGTCTACGCAATGTATTTTCACCAAAGATTTTTGTGAACTTATCTGTTGTCGTCTACTCGTCACAAGTACGCATAGATCTCTGGTTGCAGATTTGACTAATTATTTACCCGATATCACCAACTGGTCAACAAGTCTTGGACTAGTACCGGTCGGGTCGTGAGGTGGGTACCAGAATGGTCTCAATATGCAAGATTTGAACATTAAATTTTGATTATTTTTATCGTTTTATGATAAGAAAAGTTGAACAAGGAGATTCTACATTAGTACTGATACACAAGATAAACTTAAAAAATATTAAAAAGTGAAATTTTATATGCTGCCTTACGAAGAAAAATGTAGGGGTGAGATCGGTTCAGTTCTTGAAAGAAAATTAGAAATCATTTGAAAAACGTCAATCCCATATCGATTCAGGAAAAAATGTTTAACTATTACTGTGTTTATCTATTATTGTGTTTAACCATTAAGAAAAAATGTTTAACCGTTACTGTGTTTCAAATTAATAAATATTTAACCGTAAACTAGTATACAAAATTTAACAAACTGAAAATGTAAGCAAAACAATTATTAAGTAGAAAATTAAAGCTCGATTTCACCTATGCTTGTATCCTTGTATCACATTCATCAATGATTGTAAGTTTGCAACGTTTGTGTAACGATTAATGTTCTTACTCATTGAGTTGTGTAATATAACAATTGTTCATAAAGAGATCGAGATTGTTGAGCATTCTCAAAACTTTGAATTTTCTTTTTGATAAAAATAAATTTGAATTCTTATGCTTCATTTATTCTTGTAGAACTTTGTGTTGCTAGATGAATTACATTTGTTTCATTTATTTATTTAATTGTTTCTTATCATATTATACAGAAGAAATTACTCACGGTAGGACTAAAACATAACATTTTTCCCAAAGTATAATCATATGTTTGATTTTTTCTTAAATATTACATTTCCATCACTATTTTAATCAATTAATATAATTAATTGCCCCTAGTTCTCTTGCATAACCAAAATCATTTTATTGGTGACAGATCAATCCGATGATGACGAAGGCAAATTTCGATGACGGAGGCAGACATGCAGATCGGTAGCGGTGATCTA